ATATATATATATATATATATATATATATATTATATATATATTATATATTTATATTTTAATACATTTTATAATCCTTAATTTTATTATTATGAAGATTTTAAGTTTTAAAGTAGTGTTTCAGCAACTTCTTTATAAGTTGTAACATTTTTTTCTTGAACAATTTATTTTACTTTAATTGATAAATTTTTAAGACCTCTATGTATACGAGTTTCTATTTTTTAATTTTTTTCTTTTTGTTTTATTAATAAAAAAAAAAAATTATTAACTATACCTATTTCTTTATTTATTATAATTTATTAAACTTAATTAATATCGTTTTTATTTTAATTTATATTTTAAACTTATTTTTCAGAAATTTAAATTTATTCTTAACATAAAATATTATCTTTATTTTTTTAATTTTAAAATAAACAATTAATAGCTAAATTATTTAAAACAACTCCTTAGTAATTAAATTTATCCTTAATTATACTTTTATTTTAGAATTAAACTTAATTACTATTATCATTATTAGAAATACTATCGAAGTTTGGTTGATTTTTAATGATTAACGAAAATTATTCATTGTTTATGTCTTAAAATTAATTAAAAGGTAGCTAATATGTTTAATTATATATGTTTTATTATTAATTAATAAAAAAAATTTTATTATCTATAGAATCAATACAATTAGGATTTAGAAAATCAAAATATTTTTAATTTTAATCATATTGAATTTAAATTTATTAAGGATTTTTTTATTAATGTAATTCTTTATTAATTACTTCTTTATTATTTTTTACTTTTTAGTTTTTTTTTGTTTAACAAAATAAATTCAAATTATTTTACCTTCTTTTTTCTTGTTATTTTTAAGTGTTTTAATTTTGTTTTTCATAAAGTTTTATATTTATATATATATTCTATATAGATATTAAAATATGTTAATTTTAAATAATATTTATTTATATTTTATAACAAATCAAATTAAATTTTTAGTTAAAATTTTAGTTCTAAAAATTATTATATTATTAAAAAAATTGTATTTTTAACATATTCTTATATATTAATAAAGGCTTTAAATAAATTATATTTAAATAAAATGTAAATATAATATATAAATAATAATATTTTTTAAAAAATATGTTATATTATATATAACTAATAAAAAAAAATGATTTAATTTAAATATAAAAAATTTTTTATCATTATATAATTTATTTATAATTTGCATTTGCTTTATATTATTTTATATTTTTATTATTTTTACGATTTTAATTAGAAATCATATAAAAACTTAATATATAATATTTATTTTGCATTTTAGAAAATATATATAAATAAAATAATATATTATATTATATTAGTTAATTTTAATTTTAATTATATTATTATATTTAAAATAATAATAATATAATACTTTTATTTATTAAATCATAAATAAAATTATTTATTTATTAATAAAATAATATATTTTTGTATAAAAATAATATTATTTTATTAATAAATCAATACTAAATTTATTATCAAATAATTTTATATAATAAAAATATAAATTAAATGAATAAATACAAGAAATTTAAAATATAAAAATATTTATATTTAATTTTTTATTATCATTAATTTATCTTTAAATATTTTATAATTAAATTTATATTCTTTATCGTTTATTATTAATTATACTAAAATAAATCAAAGTTATTTTAATAATATTTAATTAATAAAATAAAATTTTAATGATAACAATAAAATAAACAAATAAAAACTATTAATTTTTTTTTTTGTTAAATAAATTAAAATAATAGACTTCAACTTTTATCAATAAAAATATAATTTACATATCCATTCCAAGAAGTAACATAAATATTTGCAAAAACAGGCCTTAAATAGAAAGGAATAAAAATATGATTTAAAAGGGAAAATAAAGGCCATGATTTATGGTAATTTTAAAGCGAAAAATTAGCTTTAGTCATTTAAATATCAGTGAAAGTCTAAAAAGATTTAAAATATAGAATATTAAAGGAAAAATAATAAATGAGTTACATAATAGGAAAACAAATCAAATAATCAGTTACAATCTTTAAAAATATTTATTTATTTGTTTATATTTAGGCTAATAAAGTAGTCTATAATTTCTAAAACCATAAAAATCCCCATGGAGCGCTACAAAAACCTACTGTAAATTAAATCAGAAGTTTATTTTTATTATATTTTTAGTTTTTTTCTATAAACTATTAATAAAGTAAGTCAAATAAAAAAGTTATAGTACCATTTGTTGTCATTCTTGATAAATAAGGATATTTAATCAAAGCAAATTTATATATTTATAATATACTCATGTTATTTAATTTTATGTTTAATTTTTTTGTATATTTTTAAGTTTTATATTATTTTATTTCTATTTTTATTATATATAGAAAATAATTTTAATTTTTTTAATTTCTAAATTATTAAAAATATGTTATGCTTATTATTTTATCTATATTTATAATAATAGGCAATATTTATGATATTTTGGGCAATAAATATTCAATAAAATGTTATAGAAAATATAATTAATATGGGTTTTTTTTTAAAAATAAATAAATATTTAATTAAAATACTTAAAGAAATTTTTATTTATTAAGATATATAATTAAATAAATAATAAAAGAAAAAAAATATTTTTTATAAATCAATTATTTTATTAATTAAATTTTATATTAATCTTTTTTAAATTAAACAAAAAAATAGGATTATTTTTAAAAAAAATTATGTATAATAATTTATCTTTACTAATAAAATAAAATTTATAAATTTCTGATTTGTTAAAATATAAATATTTTATAATATTAATAATATATCAGAAAACAAACTAAATTAAATAATTAAAAATAAAAAAATAAGTAAGAATATATTTAAAATTAAAATTATAGAAAAATTAAATATATATATAATGATATTATATATATATATATTTATTTATATTTATATATAATATTTATTTATAATTTAATTAATGCATTCATTTATATTTAAACTTAGATGTAAATTAAGTTAAATGTAATTATTATAAATATAATATTCAATTAAATACTTTATTAATTTTATTTAATTATTTAAATAAGATTTAATAAATACATATTTTTATAATTATTTACAATATTACTATTTTTTTTTTTTTAAGTAAATAAATTTATATATTAGCAATTAATGTTTAAAATGTTATAATTTTATCAATCTAATTCATATTTTATGAAATATTTATATAAGTAAGCTTATAATAGCAATTTTTTAACTAAAATAAAAATTATTAATTTAAAAATACATAATAATATATTTTTTATTTGAAT